ACACCGAGCTCTGCGGCGATGCGCTCGGTTTCTTCTGACACGTTTTTAATGTGTGGTAGAGGCTTACTTCTGTCTCATTTTGTATATCAAGGACGATGGGCTCAAAGGACATCGCCTTGATTTAAGCATCCCCAAGTTGTGCGGACAGACTGTCTTCGACTGTAAGGTCACTTGAAAAGGCTAGTCTTTATTAAGTCAATTGGTGGTTACCGAGTTTAGCCATCTTGTCCACACTGGTTATGGCTTTTACATGTCATCCGAGCTAGAAGACAGAAGCCTAACGCAATTGCGATGTTTTCAGAGCCTTTCAAAGGCCTCAAAAGCTCTATAATGCCCAGTCGACAAATTAGTTGAAAAGGTGGTTACGGTTAGGGAATAGGGACCCGTTATTCAAGTGGTCTTGCGTTAAATTCCAGGGATATAGGAGTTAGGTTTAAGATAAGGGTAAGGATTGACGTTTGGGTAAGGCTTTTGACACGGGAGTACTGGCCCTTCATGGAATTTAGCAGTAGTTTAGCCGCACGGGTTTCTACTTCCGTATTTTACCTAAAATATTCGACGAGAACACTTGACTCTATCGTACCCAAAGTGACTATTCACCCTAACAACCTTAAATGTTCGTCCCGTTTAAAGAATCCATTGCAAAATTTGCCATAGTGGAGGACAGAAAGAGTGTCAAGGAACTCGCTCTATGCAAGGCTAGTGTCGCGCGACTTTTGGTAAGATTCGCTGCTCCGACTAATGATGACTGAGTGAAGGAGGTAGTAAATAGATTCTCTGGATCAGATAGAAAAAAGCAGTGCAGTGAGGCGTTGAATTCGCCTTCGTCCAAAGGGATTACATCGTGAAGCAATAGCCTCGCTTTTCGCAGAGAATGAATGACTTTCATGAGCTGTTCGTTCATGATGCGTCGAGATTAAGTCACTACAATCATCAGGCCTAGGCCTCACCTCCCAATGGGAAATAATATCAATGTTAAGGGCAAGTTCTAAGCTCTTTGAGGCTGTGGCAGAAAGGCAAAAAACTGACTGCTCTTGATGACCTCAACGTCGGTATAGGCACAGGGCACGCTTCTTCAGAGTGGGTGATAGGTTACCGTAGAATCAGTGGCTTAATTCTCCTGTAGGTCTGTACACAACGATTCCCCTAAACTAATTGGAAGGAGGAAACGCTCGCGTCACTACGATGTCATCAAGAGACGAGACCGGTGTGATATACTAGTGACAAAGAAAAGATCTGGTGTGGACAGCCGAAAAGACCATCGCCTAGTCGTCTCAAGGACGAGGCTGCTGTTACGTTCTCGAAATAATACAGTACCACAGAAGTTAAATTCCAAAATAAATGATATGGCTGGATGCAGACTGCACCCCAATAACAAAAAGAGTTTCAACCTGGGACAAAAACGGGTCCCGCGGAAGGTATGGCGTTAAGATAAAATAAAAAGGCTATGGTTTGACGTGCATGTTACTATTTTTGAATATCTTAAGTTGGCAAGTCCAAAATTGCGTGACAGATGTGACGACGACGTCCGCTCTTCAAGAAAAGACTATGCATGACCTATGGTAACATTAGGGATGCGAATATACCCACGTTCTCTCTTCAAGGGAAATTGAAGGAGATAAAAGATGACCATCTGATATGTGAACTCAAAAAGGGTAAGCAGACTCCGTGGGAATCCATAACTTGGCGACTAACGAAACTGTCTACGTCTTTTAACCCAACGGAACTGAGTTGGTGCTTGGCTCGGATGGGTACCGTGACGAGCGACCATGAAGTTATGTCAGTTACCGAACTAATTAAACATTTCTCAAAATATGTAGGCCAAAGTCCAAAGTCCGGGTGAGCGTGAAATCTTATGAACGACTGACAGCTGCGTCATCCGACAGTCAATTTTTTTAGGTTCTCATAAACTAATTAAACCATGATTTTGGTGAAGTTGGCAATCTACACGTTAAAAGCTGTCACATCCACATCTCAATTAGAAGTAAAGGGATGGGTGCAGCACTTATAGACGAAGTAACTTAGGCGGAAAATATTTACAGATAGACACAATGTCACTTCGCCAGCACCTACAACGCCCTCAGTTAGTCTCTCATATTGAGCGACAAAAACGTCAGACTCTTAAGAGGGACTGCAAAAATTGAGTCAGTATTTGTGTGTCCTGAGCTGCTATGACGTCCAAAAATATAATTTGCTGTTTTCGGTGAAGGATGGGTTGGAAAGGGGTGTAACTGTCCTATCATAACAGTAAACAGAGGCCGACTATTTTACAAACGAAACAGTAGTTCTGCCCATTATTATTACGCAAAAATACACGAAGGGACTGAATTTGCCAAGGATCAATGTGGTGATGGTCGTGGTCATCACAGATTAGCAACAACTTGGGAAAGAAGAGTCTGTGACAAATACGCATTTTTGCATTATGCACAGTTTTGGATCCAAGTGAGTTCGCCGATCGTACTATGAAGATTTACTGACCCACTCAACGGAGTATTATGTCCATCAAAATCTTAGGTCAAATATCTTGGAAGTGTAAAATTTACTGAGAAAAAAGAAAATTAACCAAAACTATGTGGCGACGATTGTTCCTAAAGCCAACAAAGCCACTGATAACTTTTCAAGCATCCCTGTCCTCAGCGATACTAATGAATAACAG